ATGCGGAGAAAAAGCAACTCTCATACATTGTTGGTGGGACTGGAAAATGGTGCAGCCTCTATGGAAAATTGTTTGGAGGTTCCTCAAACAGTTGCAGATAGATCTACCATATGACCCAGCTATCCCACTGCTGGGAATATACCCAAAGGAATGGAAATCATCAATTCGAAGGTATACCTGTTCCCCAATGTTCATTGCAGCACTCTTCACAATAGCCAAGAGCTGGAATCAGCCCAAATGTCCATCATCGGATGAGTGGATACGGAAAATGTGATATATCTACACAATGGAATACTACTCAGCTATAAAAACGAATGAAATACCAGGTATAAAAACAAATGAATTACTGCCATTCGCAACAACATGGATGGACCTTGAGAGAATAATATTGAGTGAAACGAGTCAGGCAGAGAAAAAGAAATACCACATGTTCTCACTTATTGGTGGGAGCTAAAAATAAATAAATAAACTCATTCACATACACACACAAAAAAAAAACCGGAGGGGGGGAAGAAGATATAACAACTACAATTTTCTTCGAAGTTGTTACAACAAGCAAATGGAAAGGACATTCCTGGGTGGGAGGGGGGAGAGGGAGGAGGGAGGGCAGTTTCGGTGACGGGCCATAATAATCAACCACATTATATATTGACAAAATAAAAATTTAAAGGAAAAAAAAAAAGAAAATTGCAATAATAGTACTTAGTGTATTTAAAACTTGATGCATTATGTGAAATTATCTCCCAAAACATTTCATCAATTTAGAATTTCATCGTGTTTGTTAGAAATTCTGCAAGTACTAAAAAAAAAAAATCCTAATTAAAAGTAATCTAAATAAATGAGGGTATATTTTCCCCACAAAACAGCAGGGAAAAGGTAGCTGCTGGTATTTGTTCAATGGCCCAAAAATATCATAGCTGCATATTTGTGAGTTCCTTGTCCTTTCCCTTGTAATGTCAAGGTGACAGCCATTGCTCCAGGCATCATGTCTACATTCAGAATATAATGAGGCAGAGAAGGGAGGTGCCTACTATGACTCTACCATCTTATCAACAAAAATTCATATTCTCATGCGCTTTCACATGTTTATTGTTTATTAGAACTCCACAGTATGTTTATTGATTTGAATGTTGTCATATGAACACCACAGCTGCAAAAAAGGCTGGGAAATGATTTATATTTGTAGTCTCTAAAGTTGAGACAGGGAAGGGAGAATGTGGTAGGAAATTGGTGTGGGACAGCAAAATATCAATGATTTTTAAGCCCACAGAACTGTCTGAAGATGTTCATTTTTTTTGTTTTCCAAAATTAGAAACCTCAAGCTTTCTCATCAGTCTTATGGGTTACAAAAAGATATGTCTGATTGTTAAAATTTTATTTGCCTGATAATGTATGAGGTTGAGCATCTTTTTCATTAAAAATTTTTTTGATCATTTGTAAAAAAAATAAATAAATAAAAATAAATAAATAAATAAATAAACATTTCTTTTACACATGGTATTAGAATTAATTACAGATAGAAATATTGTCTTCATTAATATTTATTTGTAGTAGTATGTACAGGTGTTTTGAGACTTACATTTTACATATGCCATCATAAAGAGGACAATTTAATTCCTCAATCCAAAAATATTCTTTTAAAAATAACTTGATATTGTAAAAATGTGAAGTTTATTTTTGTGAAAGAATTAGCCAAGTGTAGAACTTCTACCTTTGGTATGGATAAAATGCTCTTTCAGGACAATGACCATATCCTTGTTGTATACTCCTTGCTGGCACTGGTTTTGCTAATCTGCTCTCTTGAGTGTTAGGCCTGGGAAGAGACTTTGGTTGGCTAAAATATTCTGCAACAGGTATTTTCGTATTACTTCTTCTTATAAACAATGGGGGCTTCTGCTCAGCCTCTGAAATTAGAAAAAAACTAAATAAGACCATAATTGAGACACTGAATACAGCTTCTGCCATGTTTTAGTAGCACATGATACACAAAAAGCTATATGAAGGTTAGGTGAATCATTTACACCCAAAATTCATAAAAGAATCTTTTCTCATCTTTCTTTCTTACCACCTGCTTATCTTTAATGACTTATTCTAAAACATGTAGGATATGGTTCTTTCACTCTTAAAAGCAAACACGATTTTGGTAGAAATGGTTGAGAGGTGATGGTAGGTAAGAGTGGAGGCCAAGGGTGGGATCAGTGAGAGAAGAAGAAAGATCTATGGTCTTGATAAGACCAGAGAATAGACAGGCAGGTTAAAACAAGTTAATTGTACTCAGAAGACTTTCCCAAGGCCTACATGGTTGCACATAAGCAGTAATAGGGATTTGGGGAGACACTGAATATCAACAATGGAGATGAAGGGCCATGATTGGGCAATTTATTACAAAACATTTCCAAGTATCTAGACAGGGTTAAATATATGTGAGAACTATAGGTAAGACATAAAGTTGAATAACAGAAATCATTGTTGTCATGATTTTATAGTCCTATGCTGAGGGAGTTTGATAGAAGAGGCCACATAAAATATACTCTCCTTGGAGTCAGAGTAAGGGAGTACTTTCTCATTTAAAAGGACACATTATTACCTTTTAGCAATAACAGGAGATTGGTTAACTCCAACAAAACCTGCTGGGACCTAGTGTGACCCCAAGGAATTCTAATTGATTACCTTATCACTCCTTGTATAAAGAGAACTTGTAGAAAGAACAAGACAGATTTTTGTTTGAGGCTTTTAGATATACTTCATGGTTGTTGCTCTATAATCTTTATTGCTATACTTATGTCGAAGCTAGAAGTTACCAAACCTCCAGGGATGGTTCAGTTTGGCTATTCTGGACCAAAGTAGGACTTTCTACAATTCTCAATTCTCCCTGGTCCAAATTGTAGACTAAGGCTTGGCCTCTGGTGGGGGCACAAAACTTTTTTTTCTATTGAATTTTAGCTGTCTATAGGGTACCTGCTTGAAGCTGATTGCCATTTTGCTCTTTTCTCTGGTTTACTTGGTTTTCAGTGAAATCATTTAGCTCCATGATAGTTAAGCTGTGAAGAACCAAAACTCTAAGATCATTGGCCTTTTTTAAGGTCAATGCAGGGTTTCCCTTTTCAATGACTTGGCATGACCAAAGCGATAGTTCCTGTTGCCCTGCTGCTTCCTCTTGCTTCTCAAAGAGTGTTTGTCCCTGCTGAGGCACTTTGCCTTTCAAAACAAAGGTAAATTTAAGCCAAATTTATCTTTATGAGAAAATTCAGCAGATGCTGTCCCTTAAGAGTGGAGCTGAAAATCACTATTGTACTTTACTGTTTTTCTTTAAAAGCACAGATCCGTAAAATCTATGCCCCTAGGTAGTAAGTACTTACTGGTTTCCTAACACTGACTCAGTAGTTATCACAAACTGTACTTAACCTTTTGGTTCTTCCTTATTTCCTTCAGATCCTTGACTTGACACTCTAAATCAATTGGAGAAAGAAAAAAATGAATTTCACAGACATAAGCATGTATTTTTTGTAGACTACACTATCAATCAATAAGCTCAGTGTATATGTATCCTAAATATGCTATCCCAGTTCCTTGTTTTTAATGCATACAGTATCAAATTTACTTCCCAGTGAAAAATTCTTCCCACTTTGAGTAAATATCTAACTAGTATATCACATGTTAGTCACCAAGGTAGAAAGACTTACTATCGCCCAGTCCCTGATTTTATGGAAACTTTAAGGTAGAGGTAAATTGCAATGCAGAATTCTTCTCTATCTTTAACGCTTTTTAAATTGACATATTACAGTTTAATATTTATTTTCTCTGACTATAAACTTTACCCAACTTTTAATTTTAAAGCAACAAGTTTTTTCTCTCTCAGGTTAAGTAACATCTTACCACACATTCTTTCATCATGATATTATACATAAATATGTATTTTTCTTCTTCACTGGAAATTACAGGGTTTAAGAAAAATTTCTCATGAAATAATTTTGAATTCCCTTAGTAGTTATTTTTCTCTCTGACAGCCCCCAGGAATATTTCAGAGAAAATTAAGGAAAGGAATTTATTTTAATCTTGCATAATTCTACACAAAAATAGTAATACCTATGTGGTATGTGTTTAACAAAATATACAGTAACCACAATAATACAAGTTTGGTTGTATTTATTGCTTCTATTTTTAATTAAATCAAAAAGAACTGTATGATGTGACTTCAAAAAGTTTGTGGGAAAATGGAATTAAAAGATAAAAATAAAAATATAAACTTAATTTCTCAACATAACCTCCATCAAGTTCAAGACACTTTTGTAAGCAATGATACCAGCCATTTAGTCCATCCCTAAAGAACTGAGGGTCCCAGGAATTAAACCATGTCAGTGCAATCTTTCTTACATTATTAACAGAAGAAAAATGGTGCCCTTTAAAGATTTTTTATGATTGGGAAACAAAAATAAGTCTTAAGGAGCCAAATCAGGACTGTATGGTGGATGCCTGATGATTTCCTTTTGAAACTCTCAAAATATTGCCCTTGTTTGATGAAAGGAATAAACAGGAACATTGTCATGGTGATGAAGGACTCTCTGGTGAAGCTTTCCTGGGTGTTTTTCTGCTAAAGCTTTGGCTAACCTTCTCAAAACACTCTCATAATAATTAGATGTTATCATTCTTTGGCCCTCCAGAAAGTCAACAAGTAAAATGCCTTGAGCATCCCCAAACACGTTGCCATGACCTTTGCTCTTGACTGGACCACTTCCAACTCTTGGTAGCCATTGCTTTGATTGTGCTTTGTCTTCAAGATTGTACTGGTAAAGCCATGTTTCATCTCTTGTTACAATTATTCAAAGAAGTGCTTCAGGATCTTGATCCCACTTGTTTAAAATTTCCATGGAAAGCTCTGCTCTTGTCTGCAGCTGGTGTGGGTGCAACAGTTTTGGCACCCATTGTGCAGAAAGTTTGTTCAGCTTTAATTTCCTAGTGAGAATTGTGTTAGCTGAACCAGTTGAGATGTCTGTGGTGTTGACTATTGTTTCTGCTGTTAATCATCAGTCCTCTTCAATTAGGGCTTGAATGAGATTAATTTTTTACTTGCAAATTGATGTGGATGGTCTGCCACTGCAGGCTTCATCTTCAACAGCATCTCATCCTTTTTAAAAATGAGTTATCCATTTTTAAGCTGCTGATTTCTTTGAGGCATTGTCCCCATAAATTCATAAGGCATCAATAATTTCACCATTCTTGCATCCAAGCTTCATCATCAATTTGATGTTTGTTCTTGCTTCAATTTTTGTAGAATTCAGTTGCTCTGACTGGGGCTCTTTCTAACTGATGTCTTATTCTTCTTAGTGCCTCAAACTAGCTCCTATTTAGACATGTTACAAGTTAGTAGAACTTATTTTGGTGCAAACATGCATAGTTTTTTCATAATATGCATTTTTCTTGAACTTTTTGAAGACCTTTTTCAAGAACTTTTTGTATGTTCTTAGATTTCTAGGTGGCTAATCTTGCTTTGCCCTTAGTGAAAAGAGAATTTTTCTCAAAAAGAAAGGTTATTTGATAAGGAAGACATAGCCCCTGCCAAAATGTTCTGAACAGCAGGATTGAGAACAATTTTTGTATTACATTTATGAAAATGGAATAAAACAAAATTGCAAGTATATTGTAGTCAGTTAGTGAATAAAGAGGAGACTTAAAACCTCAGCATATTTAGCATTTTCAAAGATAAACAACAAGATAATTCAAAGTCTTTATGTACTAGAGGCCCTCTAGGTGGCCATTTTATCTAATTACCTGGTCAGTTGATGTCCTTCCCAAACTCCGGTCAGTACTTTTGCTTTTGCAGGTGAATTTGGGGATGATTTAACTGCGGGTGGTGATTTAACTGTGGGTGGCTTCCCAGTCTCTGCCACTGGTTTTACTGAGCTATTTCTTCTGCAGTGAGTCAACAAGTTTATCTCAGCCAGCTCAGAATGAATCAAAGCTGAGACCCACTCTTTCTCTGATTTAAAAGAAAAAAGGTGGGGGTTGTAATTATCATATTGGCTGGAAATACAGGATTAGTTCTTTTATCCAGCACCCCAGTGTGAAAGGCTGGTAATCTGTTTTCTGGGCAGGTTTCTGCAGTGAAGTTGGTTCACTTCAATTTGGTTTCTGTTGACATATGACACTGTAGCATGCTCACAGTATTTAATTCACTGAGGTAATTGTCCCTCAATAGCAGTGGAATAGTTTTAAAATATCAAGTAAAACATAAGGTTATCTGTTTGATATAAGGTATAAAGAATAATAAGTACAATATGATCCAATTAAAAGATAGACTAATTTTTAAATAATATATAGTTACAGGCATATTTAAAAAGAGTATGGGAAAGTATTCACTGAAATAACGTCTGTGGTAATTTTATTGATTATTCCCGTTCTTTCTCATCTTTTTTTGTTGTTGTTGTTCATCTGTTCTTTTCTCTCAACAATAAGCATTTATTACTTGTTTAACTTATTAAATGTTACATTCTTATAATACCCAATAATATAGAGAATAACTAAATACCCACTGCCCCAAGTACTTCTCAACTGCCTGCAAAGTAGTCATGAATTCTTGGGGTAAGGTACTATTTTCAAATACTCCCCATTTTAAAACATTAGTCTGTCCCAAACACATCGGCACTTCCTGACATGGATCAGTGCAGTGATTCTCAAAGAGTGGCTGCATTACCAGCATCACCTAGAAACTTGTTAGAAATACAAATTCTTAGGCCCTACCTCAGAGGTTTTACCTCAGTTAGTCTGAGGTTAGAGGATAGCTGTTCTGTGCCACTTATGGTTGGCATGCTTGGAAATGGCATTTGTTTTCATGGAACAGACCAGAAAGGCCCAAAGGAGGCTGGGAGATGACAGAACTGATGGTTTTGGTGAGGAATTGGCAGAGCTGTTATAGTCTGGAACTTGAAAGGCTGTGCTTTTGCCATCCATACCAAAGCATAGAAATAGGCCCTGTGTTCAGGGTTCACAACAGGCCAGAGGTTGTGCTCAGGGAAAGCCCTGGGTGTGTGGACTCTGCAGGAGCAGAAACCGGCTCTAGCTGAGAATAGGCCTCCCCTGGACACAAGTGTTTCATATCACCCAAATGAGTTCAATTTGAGATGTACTGAATTTGGGGTTCATTGAATGACCAGCATGCATGTGGTTGGATATACAGGACTACAATGATTCTGATACTGAAACACTGGAGAAATAATACTGCAATGTTATCTTTGCAAATTCAAGGTAGAAAACTTCAGATATTGGCATATTCCCAGTATCTTACAATAAACTGAAGCTCGGTGTTGGCAAATGCTTATCTCACTCTCACCTTTTGTACTTGCATGAAGCAGCCACTGTAGAACTTCTGCCAGAGAATCAGTATGTAAAATACTGCAGAGCTTTGCCAGGATCTGACAGAGAATGTTAGGGTTACAAAGTGAGTAAATAAACAGAACAAGGCTTGTAAGGTTTCCTTCCCCTTCTCCAGAATCTCATCTTCCCATATGTCACTCTGTACGTGTCAGTTGGGATTTTAGATTGGGAGCCAGATTTCAAACAGTACACAGTGAAATCTTAGCAAAACAACATTTCCAGTACAAGAACTAGGTTAGGTTAAGTGGTGCAGGAGATGTTTCTCTTATTTTGTCTGTTCAGTACTAACAGACAGTAGGAGCAATTCACCTCCTTGGGGAAACTGATCCTTTTTCACTGCACCATGTCCATCTAATGGGCATCTGCCATCTGTACTGCTCCTCTTCACAGTCCAAGGGAGAGCGATGTGCTCTCAGCTGGATTCATCATTGCACCCCAGCTCCTTGTACACAGTGGTTGGCCCAATGGGATAGGAATATAAATACCTTTAGTTAATCAGAATCCTTCCTTGAGTTTTTTGTTTGTTTGTTTTTTAATCTGGAGCTACAGGCTGAAGTATAGGTGACAGAGGAGATAATTTATGAAATAATTAATTCTAATAAAAATGTATCATAATAAGCATTAAAACAAAAGTACGAAGTATTAAGTAAGCACATGTAATGAAGTTTCCAGTTTGAACCTTAATTGTGTCTGCTTTTGGAGTTTAGACATTTCTGGAATTCATATCTGTCTCTTGAACTTCAGTCCTATATATCCATCTGCCAACCAGATGTACCCAGTTAGATACACTGTAGGTACTTTGAACCCAAAATATCTAAAACTAAGCTCATATTTCTCTTCCTAAAACTTGCTCCAAACTTGCTGTTCCTCCTGGTTCCCCTGTCTCAGTGAACACCACCAGCATGCATTGAATTGTCCAAGCCAGACCCCAGGATTCACCCTGGACAACTCCCTTGCCATTTTACACAACATACTGCCAAACAAGAAGTGAAGCAAATTACAAATTCTACCTTCTAAATATTTCTCAGATCTCCCCTTTTTCTTTTTCCCCACTGCCTTGACCTGGTCTTAGCAACATCAGTTCTCATTTAAGCTACTACAACATCCTTTCTCCTAGTCTCTGCCTTAAATCTTAAATTCTTATTAATTCAACAAATGTTTGTGCCAGTAATTGATTTAGATGCTGGAGATATAGAGAAGCAAAATTAAAGGGCTGATAAACCAACTGCCCTATATTGAATTTTGTTATAATATTAAGATTCCTATCCTCAATGATGCAATGTCCTAGAAGAGAGCAAGTTAAATTTGCTCCTAATTTCACAACAAATTAACAACTGTGGCAAAAATAGAAAAAGAGCCCTGTGATATTTTCTAGGCCACTCTGCCTGTATTTTTTTTCATCTATATAGTGATTTTCATATTACTCCTAACTTCTAACTCATAGATCACTCACTGAACTATATCCTAGAGAATATAATTATCCTTTTCATGAGAGGAAGTATAATATGTCTTCCTAGGAACCTCCTGCATTCTCTTTGGGTACCTAACCAGATGCAAAATGGACCACAGTAGCCTCCAGTGCCTTGAGGTAAACATTTATTTGTGCAGCTTGGAGCAGGGATAGCTAAGCCTGTAAACCAGGCTCCTGAGTGTCAGGGAAACTATAACTATTCCAAAGGGCCTCAATCCAGTCTAGATCAGATCTGGAGAAAAGGAAAAGTACCCAGTGACTAGATTCTCTTTGTTATTTCACCCTTGGAAGTCTATTAAAGTCACTCTTTGGAATCCCTCAAAGAACTTTTCTACTATGATCTCATGATTTCTTGGAGCAGAGTAACCTTAAATCCTCAAGGTAACCCCATTTTCTTTTGCCATGGAGGTAACTGAAATACTATATAAGGGGTTCTCTGTACTATCATGGTTGGAAAAAACTCAGAGCAGACTACCAGGAAGGTTTCTGAAATTGAAAAATCCTCTGCTTCCAACTTCAGAGGATGGGTTCTCAGAATCAGATGTAGTCACCATTGTCCAGCAAAGATTCTGGGGAAGCCAGCCTTGGTACCTACCATAAAAGTTGTTCTTTTGACATCCTCCCTCTTGCAGGAGTTTCCAGTTCTCATTTTAATAATCATGTTCTCCAAAATAGTTCCTGAACTTGTGTTCTGAGTGTCTGTCCTGAACACTTATCATGAAATGGCAGAATGTATCATTGATACCCTCCTGTTTTATTGGCATTACCAGAGAATGTCAAATCTGTGTGCTCTAAGGATAATTGCAAATTTAGCAGATGTGAAAATTCCTTAATCCAACTGTAGAATGGAACGTTTTCAATTGCTCACACTAGGAGGAAGCTCCCTAGTCATTAGACCCATTGGATTTGGAATCAAAGTCAAGGATTCATCCTCAGTTTATGTGTGTCATGGCTTGAAAGGGAGTGGGCAAAGAACATGGTTCAGCACCTCTTTAAAAATACCTTTTCCCTCCCAAGTCATAAGGTCAGGTCTGGAGGATTTAGTGACTCTGAATCTTTGTAAAGAGTGGCACTGGATAGCAGATCAGAATCTTTCAGAATCTCATGCTAAGCATGTGTAGCTTAATATTATACCAAAAGCTCGATGGAACTACACAGATTTCTGGAACTCATTCCCTGCACAGAGTTCTCTTCTTCAGTATCTAAGTTGGCAAATTCCAGATACCTCAGCATCTCCAAACTCTAAATTGTTTTTTCTACCTAATGAAGCTGCTGCTCTCTGTTTGGGTTCCACTTCTCTGTGACATGATTAGGAATGTAGCCCAGACAGAAGTCTAGGTTGAATGTGGAAATCACAATTGTTTCTTTTCTCTCAATGGTCATAAATCTGTGCTGTCCATTACCCAATACCTGAAAAGAATTTCTTTATATGTCTTGCTGAATTATACGGTTGTTTATAGCAGGGGGCTAAGTCTTGAACCTAATCTATCATTTTGGACCCAGAATCCCTTGCCTGTAACTTTGTCACCCCTACCTCCTAAAAGTAATTCTGCATATTGTATTCAGAATGATTTTTCTAAAGTACACCTCTGACCATAAAATCCTTGTACTTAAAAATGTAATTTTAGTACTATTCAGCAATTAAAATTCTTTACTGGCTTCCCACAAGCCCTTGTGATGAAATCTAGACACCTTGATGTGGTGTCTAAAGTACTTCATTATCTGGTCTCTGCTTAAGTCTCCAGCCCCATCTCTTGCTGCCTTCTCTCTGCACTCTCTGCATCAACCATATTAATTGTTTTTAGTTTCTTGAATCAACAATGGTCCCACCTCTTAGCCTTAAAATATGAAAATATCACCTCTTTCCTTGACTGGGAAAGATCTCTACCATACTTCTCTTCATCTTCTAATTATATCTCAAATATTCTTTAGGTCTCTTTCTCCTTAAAGGCTCTCATAGCTACAAAGTCTCCTGCTATAAATGATTACAACACCTCCACAGTCCCTCTCATAAGCTCTGTGCTTATGAGAAGGAACCAATTGTATCCCCAAGCTCTAGCATTTTGTGGTTTGACATTAAATATATAGAATAAATGGACGAGTTTGGCAGATTTTTGATGTCAGTAGTAAAGAGACTGTTGTTTCCGTAAATTCCAGATCTTTGTGAGGAAGGCTTAAAACAAGATGCTAATAGACACAGAATTCTGTTTTTCTTTTCCTTTAAATTAGTAATCATGAAATTGCATACTCTTTCAGATATACCTCTGCACAAATATTTCTTGATTTCACAACCCACTCATAGTTAACCCTGGATAGTAGAAAATTGGAAGATATTTCAGAGTTTTTTGTAGAAAGCATGGGAGGATGAAATACATCCAAGATGAGCTCTATATTTATGGCTCTTTTATAGCAAAAAAACCTTGATAAGACCCATTTTATCCCTTTATTTCCTCTTCTTTCATTTATTTAACAAATAGTCAACAACTATTTTATAAAATGCCATGATCTGTGTGCCAGTTAATATTTTTTGAGCAAAGTGATAAGTGCTAAGGAATCAGTTGTGAACAAAGCAGACAAGATCCCTGCCTTCAAAGACTTTACATTCTACTGGATTTTATATTAATCAATATCCAGTCACATCAATATCTGTAAGATGGAAGATACTCTTGAGAGGAAAGCTGTTTAATAGATGCCCACAAAGCCAGTTCTATAGGATCCTGCTGGTCTATTGATGTGCCCAAGAAGACAGTCTTACTAAAACTGTACTAGCTTATGATTTGTTTGAGTCAAGGGCCTATGTAGTTAACTGATTTTCTACAGTTTCACTTTGATCTTGGTATCAATTTTCTTCTTAATATATTTATTCAACATTCAACAATACTTATTTAATAGGAACTAGGTATCTAGCACTTATCTGGGCACTGAAGATAAAGCAGTAACCAAGACAGACAAGCATAAGAGATCTTGGAAGACTTAAATTTTAGTGGGAGTGGGGTGGGGAGAGAGAGACAATATTGAAATAAATGAATAAATATGAACATATTACTTAATAACCAAGGGTAATGGGATAGAAAATGACTGAATAGCTACTTTAGAATGGGTGGACAGGGAAAGTATATTTCTGAGTAGTGATACTTAAAATGAAACCTGAAGGAGATGAAGGAGACCACAGAGGATCAAGGGGAAGAGAATTCTTAGTAGGGAAAAGTGTGAGTGAGCAAAGTAAAGGAAGATCACTATGGCTAGAGTGTAGAGGGTAAGGAGAACAGTGCTTCTGAAGACTCTGTATAATATAAAGCCTTTAGTCAGAATCATCAGGAAATTATGTATAAACACAAGTCTAATCTTGTGTTAAGTATAAACATAAGTCTAATCTACTCTCCCTTCTCCATCTTTTTAAAAATTCTCCTCCCCAATTTTAATAATCAGCATAAATTATTATACCAACACCACTGTTATGCACTACTTTTTAAATAGTTCATTATCAGGATTATTCCATTACCATCCATACAACATGCTCTATTACTTGTAATTGTTACTACAGATACTGATTACTTAAAATTGCTGTTAGAATGATAATTACAATATTTTGACCCTTACTTTATTGTAGTGTGTCTTACAGTGGGGCAATGTGGAGGTTACCAAAGGGATTCAAAGAAAAAAATGGCAGAAGACAAATATCAGCTGTTTAATCTATTCTTGAGTATATGTCATTCTCAGAAATAACTATGGCTAGGAAGATCCTTCTAGGAAGCTGATATGACACATCACTATTCATATAACTAAGTTTATACTCCTAGGCAGAGAAGGTTTGAGGAAATAGTTTTACAAAGATAAGAGAGAGAACCCAAAGGAATGGAAATCATCAAGCCAAAGGTATACCTGTTCTCCAATGTTCACTGCAGCACTATTTACAATAGCTAAGAATTGGAACCAGCCCAAATGTCTGTCATCAGATGAGTGGATATGGAAACTGTGGTATATCTACACAATGGAATACTACTCTGCTATAAAAAAGAATGAAATACTACCATTTACAACAACATGGATGGACCTAGAGAGAATTATATTAAATGAAATGAGTCAGGCACTGAAAGAGAAATATCACATGTTCTCGCTTATTTGTGGGAGCTGAAAATAAATAAATAAATACACAAAAAACCAGGGTGGGGAGGGAAGAAGACACAACAATTATAATTCCTTGAAGTTGATATGACAAGTGAACAGATATGAGGTTGTTGGGAGGGAGGGGGGAGAGGGAGAAGGGAGGGAGATTTCAGTAATGGGCCACAATAATCAACCACATTGTATATTGACAAAATAAAATTAAATTAAAAAATAAAAAAAAGCAAAGAGAGAGAGATGAATGTTGATTGGAAGAATCTCTGCCTTAAAATATGTGAAGTATGTAAGGTAAATATACAGGGAGTGGCAACAAGTTAGAGGTAGTGCCTCTCAAGCATTAGAAAGATGATAAAGAAAGATATGAGAAGAATAGGACCAGGTTTTCTTGGTAAATGCCAATCTTCTCATGATGTCCAAACCAAAGATTGTGTAAGAGTAACAGGATTCCAGGGAAAAGTAAGGTTGAGATGAAAACAGGAGAAGACCTTTGACTTCAGGCTAAGTAGTTTTAAATCAATTCAGTCATCAATTAGGAAACATTCAAGAGTTTTATGTATGCTAGCATTGTTTTTTTTTTTTTTTTTTTTCATATGTTCATACTGTTCTCAAGTTATGGATTTAAGAAATCTTTCTCTTACTTTTATTTCCTGATCCAGATAGTTTGGTATGCAAACAGTGTTCTCTTTGACTTCAGTCTTGGTAGTCATCACCTCTGAAGAACAGGACCCAGCAGTAGAGCATGCCTTTGGAGGTGATGATGGCTTTTTGACCTTAATTTCTTCCTAAATCAAAGGTTTAATATAATCAATATGCATGCATCAACTTACATTAGATTTAAAATGAATGAAAAATCTTGTAATAAGAGAGATCCATGAAAGTAAAAAGAGGTCAGTTTTAATTCTTCCTTAAACTCTATGAAATATTCGTATTTGAAGGCAAAAACAAATAGTGATATATTATTAGCTTTTGGTGAAATTTTTAAACTCTTGGTTAAAAACCAAGATAATAATGTTTAAAATTTGTTATTTTTATTTTTGTTGATTTTAATTGACACATTGTAATTGCACACGCTTATGGCATACAATCTGATGTTTTGATACTTATATATGTTGTATAATGATCAGGTCGGGGTAGTTAATGTAACTATCACTTCATGCATTTAAAGTAATTTTTCAATGTTTAATGTCAAACCTTCATTCATATTGCAGTTCAAGTTGACAGCCATCTTATAACAGATGAGACTGGCCATTGAGTTGGAAAGATTTCTTTTTTTATGGCCAGAGAAAGACAGCTGATGTGAAATGCTATTACCTTGCTCTGCTAGGTGGAAACTGAGAGCTGGAGAGTTAGAAAGGCAAGCTACATTTCTTCTCTTGATTAATTGAAAGAGGAAATAGAAAGGCTATTTTCTTGTTCTGGAAAATAAATATACTGTTTGCAATTAAAAAAAAAATACAAAGGTTGTGAGAGCTTTAAGTCCAAGTACAGTTGTAGATGCCTTTGATCTGTGTGCCTGTTCCAGGAAAGACTTTTTAACCTTCAGAAGTGACTGATATATAAAGACACATAGAAGCTAATAGCTAAATGAGTCAACAACCTGGAGCTATGATGATTAGAATTGATAGAACAATATTTAACTGTTGATATTTAGTGAGAATTAAGCTATATTGTATTTAGAGGCATTCTTTTTAAAAAAAAATATTATTCAGACTTACTTTTGGGGGAATAATAATATATATGTTTGGTTCAACCCTCCCACTGAATACAACTAAAAGGCTGATTAAAATTTTTTAAAAATCAGAGTGAATGAAATAGTAAGGAATTAACGGGTCAAAAGTGAAGGGGAAGTAAGAAGCGGGAGGTATAGCTACCCATTTTTGCTCTGAGGTCATTGTCTGGTCCTGGAAAATGAAAACTTTCTTTTTGACAGCCTTAAAGGGCCTGAATGTCAGGACCCAAAGCTCAGGGCCCAAATAAGGGCCACCCAAGTTCTCCACCCTCAAGGTGATGGTGACCTAGAAGTGTGACAATCCTTGAAGAAATACAGCCTGAGGTCAAGGTTTGAATTTGGTTTAACTTGGTATAGGCTAGCAGGGCCTCTAGATTCCTATAGAAGCAAACACAAATTCTCTCTGAAAGAAAATCCATTTATCATGGGCTTCAGATTCCTACAAATAAAGTGTCATACATAATGTCCCACAATTGAGTCATGAGTCAAAGAAGAAATTATAATGGGAATTAGAAAGTATTTTGAACTTAATGCTATGAAAATGTTACATAGAAAATATTGTGACAGCAGCCAAAGCAATCTTCAGACGGGAATTAATAGCTTTAAAATACATGTATTATTTCGGTTGACTTAACCTCAAGCAGTTACTTCCTCACACAGGACTTTCCAACAATCTAAAATACATGTATTAGCAAGATAAAAGAAGTTAGAAAAAGAACAATAAAATGAAGTGTGTGAATAGAAAGAGAAAACTGATGATAACAGAAATAAACAAAATAGGAAAGAAATATATGGTATAAGGATCAAAAAATCACAAAAATTAGTTCTTTGATATACTAATCAAATTGATAAACTTCCATTGAAACTGAATAAACTCACAAATTGACAAAACTAATATGTAAAAGGGCACTGTTTCACAGATTCTGCAGATATTTTAAAAAGAATATAAGAATATTATGTATAACTTTGTTAATAAATTTGAACACATAAATGAAATGAATAATTTTTAGAAAAGGAATATATTACCAAAGTGATTTAAGAAAAAATAGAAAATCCAAACATTTCTATAGAAAAATAGATTTCAAAGCAAAGAACACTACCAGGGACGAAGATGGTAATTTTGAAAAGATAAAAAAGTCATTTCATCAAAAGGATACACAAACTTCAACAGATATACTCCTAATAAGAAGCTTCAAAACATTTGATTAAATACTAATAGAAATGAAAAGGAAAATATATGGATCTACAATAATAGAGATTTCAACACCTCTCTCTCAATAATTGATAGAAAAAGTAGACAGCAAATCAGTAGGGTTACAGAAGACTTGAGCAACAATAACAACCAACTTGGTCGACCTAATTGATATATTTAACAAACAACAGCAGAATAAACATTCATTTCATGAGCGCATAAAAAATTTATCAAGGTCAATCTTATTCTGAGTCATATAACAAATCTAAATACATTTTAAAAGTTTCAAAGTATACAAAGTATGTTCTCTGACCACAATGGAATTAAATTGTAAATCAAAAACATAAAAATATGTGGAAAATCTCCAAATATTTGGAAATTAAATAACATAATTTTAAGTAACCCATGGGTCAAAGAAAAAATTAAAAAGAAAATTAGAAAGTATTTTGAACAGAATGAAAATAACAGTAAAATTTGGGGGATGCAGCCAAAGTAATGTTTAAAGGAATATTATAACAATATTTGCATATTGTATTAGTCCATTTATGTTGCTTATAACAAAATACCTGGAACTGGGTAATTTGTAAAGAAACAATATTTATTGCTTACAGTTTTGAAGGCTGGGAAGTCTACAGTCTAGGCAACACATCTGGTGAGGTGACTCTACTGCTGTACGGTGTCACATGGTGGGAATGATTGAGCAGAGACTCTCATGTGCTCTCCTCTGAAAGCCAATAGAACCACGCCCACAACCACCATTAAACCATCAACTTATTATTCCATTAACTAGGGCATGGTCCTTACAATCGAATTACCTCTTCAAGGCACACCTTTCAATTCAATCAAGGTAGTCCTTTCAGTAGGGTCTCCCACTCTCTTAATGTATGGACTTGGGGGATAAAAGTTCAAATCTCAGCACATATATTACAAAGGAAAAATATCTCAAATCAATGACCTAAGCTTTTACCTTATATGAAGATAAGAGCCAAAATCAAAATCAATTAAATGGAAACGGAAAAACAAACCAATGGCTGTAAGCAATGAAATGAAATGCTGATATAATTAGAAGATCAATAAAACTCATAAACCTCTAGCTAGACACATACACAAAAAAAGGGAATAAAGAGAAGACACAAATTACCAATATCAGGAATGAGAGAAAGAACATCTCTACAGATTATAAAAAAAGGGTATTTTATGAACAACTTTATATTAGTAAATTAAACAATTTAGATGAAAAGGAAAAACTTCTAAAAAAATACAAACTACCAAAGCTCAGTAAAGAAAAGCCTATACTAACAAAAAAAAAAAAAAAAAATTGAATTTGTATTTAAAAATCTTGACTCAAAGAAAATTCCAGGCCTAGATGGCTTCAAAGAAAAATTCTACTAAAAATTTAAGGAAGAAATGATATCAATTCTACATAAAGCCTTATAGAATATTAAAGAGGAGTTTCCAACTTGTTCTATGAAGCCAGCATTATGCAGATATCAAAACGAGAAAAAGACATTGTAAGAAAACTACAAACAAATATTCTTCATGAACATAGACACAAGAAAACAATATTTTATTAAATTTGGTATATAAAAAGGGAAACACATCATGACCAAGCAGGTTTTATTATCAGGAATGCAAGGTTGGTATAACATTTGAAAGTTAAACAATATAATTGTCTATATCAATGGACTAGAAAGAAAATCATATGATCACCATAAACACATACAGAAAAAGCATTTGGCAAAATTTAATCCCTATTTCTGATAAAACTCTCAGCATACTAGGAATGGAAGGGAACTTCTTCAGCCATATAAAGGACATCTACTAATAAAGTAAACTAACATTATGCTTAATAGTGAAAATCTAAATGCTTTCCCCCTATGATCAGGTGTGAGGCAAGGATGTCTATTCTCATCACTTCTATTCAACATTATACTAGAAGTTCTAGACATTGCACTAAGGCACAAAAGAAAGATAAACACATGCAGATTTGAAAATGTAATAGAAATAATTATAAATTTGGGCTCCATCAAAATTATAGTTTTCTTTTTCAAAAGACACTGTTACAATAAAAAGGCAAGCCTCAGACTGGAAGAAAATATGAGTATTTGCCAAATGTACATGTGACAGAAGAGTTACACTTAGAGTATATAAAGAACTTTTACAACATCATAACAAAAAGACCAAAAACTCAATTTAAAAAGGTGGGAAAAAGATTTGAACATACACTACCCATAAAATGATATATGGATGGCAAGTAAGAATATAAAAAAATGTCAACCTCATTAGTCATTAGGGAAATGCAAATTAAAACCACAATTACCACTACATACCCACTAGACTGTCTAAAATTAAAAAGATCAACCATACTAAGTTTTGGGAGGATGTGGAAAAAAAGAAACTCTCATATACTGCCAACAGGATGTAAAATGGTGCAACACTTTGGAAAACAATTTGGCCGTTTCTTAATTTTTTTTTTGGTGGCTGGCCAGTATGGGGATCAGAACCCTTGACCTTGGTCTTATAACACCATGCTCTAAGCAACTGAGCTGACCAGCCAGCCCCATTTCTTAAAAATTTAAACACACAACTACTGTAAGACCCAGTCATTTCTCTCCTAGCTATTACCCAAGAGAAAAAAAAGTATATATCCATGCAAAGACTTACACTCAAATGTTCGTATTAGCTTTGTTAAAAAATTCGAGCGGACCCCGTGGCTCACTCGGGAGAGTGTGGCTCTGGGAGCACAGTGGCGCTCCCGCCGCAGGTTCAGATCCTATATAGGGATGGCCAGTGCGCTCACTGGCTGAGCGTGGTGTGGGCGACACCAAGCCAAGGGTTGTGATCCCCTTACCGGTCACAAAAAAAAAAAAAAAAAATTCGAAACAACCTAAATGTCCTTCAACCAGTAAATGGATAAACAAATTGTGGGATAACCTTACAATTGAATACTACTCATCAATAAAAAGGAATGAGCTATTGATGCACATAAGAACATGAATGAATCTTAAGATAATCACGCTAAATTAGAGAAACCAGATTTAAAACAGAGAAGGATTTCATTTATATAAAATTCAAAAAAATCTATGCTAATCTTTAGTGACAGAAAGCAGATATATGTTTGCCTGTGTGAGGGCCACAGTCATGAGGAAATTTGGCGGGGGGTGGTGATGGATATGTGCATTCTCTTGATTTTGGTGGCAGTTTCCGAGGTATGTATGTGTATTTGTCAGAACTCATCAAATTTTGAACTTTGCATATGTGTATTTTACATCATGTTAATTATACTTTAATAAACCATAAAAAATATTGTGAAACATGCTGACTTTTCAGAAAAGCATGTGGGGAAAAGAAGAGGAAATGATAGAAGTCAAACTAAATAAATAGCTGTAAATAGCTGTTTCATTACCTTTTGTATTACTAAGGGATTCTCACTGGAAGTTTTGAAGCACTCTTTGATTTTTCTACTGGGCTCTGAAATAAAATTGAGGAAAAATATATTTAAATTAAACTGAAAAAGAATTGCTATCAGATGGTATATGTATCCGTTGCTGAAATAGAGGACAGTATGTCTGAATTTAAATTAAGCTCAATTCAGAGATATGTTTATAAATATTAGGAAACTTGCAGGTAGAATTGCATTATAATAACATAATAAAAGTATATTTGTATTAAAAAACTAACCCTATGCCCAAGATGATAATATAAAAACACACTTGCGAGTGCTGTCTAGATCTAGTTAAACCGATTTAAAAAGTACGTATTTCAGTATAAGGCATGTTTTCTTTCTGTTTCCTGTCCGTATAACTGTCACTTCCTCTAATTAAAGAGACTTTATGTGTGTTGTTTGCCCTGTAGACAGTAAGAGAAGGTTGGTACTATTATAATTATTTCAGGCTCTCAACTCTACCCATTTTATACTCAGTCATCTAACTAAATCCCCCTAAGTTACCCTAAAACTACTTACAGCTTTGCTTAATTTCCTTTTACATTAATTTAAAGACATATTCTGTGTAAGCAATGGTATCTCTTTTACTGAAGCCATAGTTAACACACAATTTTTTCAAAATATGTATAGATTCGTGCTTATACCCAATAGTAAATAAATTTATTAATTCTAGCTGAAGAAAGGTGGAAGAATCAAGTTTAAAGCTACCCCTCTCCAAGTAATTAAAACAAAGTTAGGGGTGATGAGTCTATTAAGTTAGTGTTCACTGTGGTAAGCAGAAACCATTCTATTTCAAATAAAAATGTAAATAATACAAGGGATTAGGAGTTTATAATATGGTTGGAATGGCGAGAGCGGTGAACTCTGGTCTTGATCTTCACAAATCACTTCAAGAACTTCACCTTGGACCTGACCCACCTAAGAGGCACAGCCTTCACAGCAGTCAGGAGGAAGGGGAGTCAGGAGGCAACTGCAACTTCAGTGGTTGTTGCAACATCTATGAGGCCAAAGATTAGGTACAGCAATGCTACTGCAATCATAAAACCACCATATCTGCTGACTACCTTTTCACATCCATAAGCCCAGAATCTGAACACTGGGATGTTGTAACAGGAAAACCCAGGTCCCAGTCATGCTTGATAAGAGAAAGCAATCAAAAGGATGACCTTAGCCCCACATCTGCCATATCAGTGTTACTAGATGGCAACACCTCATTCCCATTAAGGGACTCTTTCTTGCAAACATAATTTTTAAGTTTCTAGGTTCTACAGTATAAGAAGGGACACCAAAAAGAAGGTGGAATAAATGCACTTTGACTCTTCATAGCTAGTGGAAGGGAGGGAAGAGGAAGAAGGCATGAAATGAGTTAACTAGTGTGATGACCTTAGAATGGCATCTGTCTCTGTAAATGATCACTCATTGTCATCTTTAGAAAGATATATATCTTACCACATTATACCAAAGTAATTTTCATGTACCCTGAAAGTTTTAGTAACAGCATGTAACTGTATAGGATAGGAGAAAAAGAACTGAGTATGACTTTATAGTACAAAATCCCTTTGGATTTTGCCACATTTTCCCTTTCCCTTCAACTCAGTAAACACTAATTAATTGAATTGTTTCCAAAGGAACAGGCACTATGCTGGAACCTGGGGAGAAATCAAGGATGGCAAATACATAGAAGACAATAACACCAGGCACTAACCTTAAGGAGATGGCAGTCCAGTGGAGAAGATATAAACATGTAATTCCATCCCTATTGTGTTTCCTGGACTCACCTTTTTCTGACGTAGTTTCCTTATCTGTGTCAGCTAAATATTTATTTCTGGCATCTCTTAGCTACTTTTGTAGGGATTAGAGACTATAACTACACCAAATACATTTTGGGCACAATAAGTAATAATAATAATAATAATAATAATAATAATAATAATAATAATAATAATAATAATAATAATAATAATAATAATAATAATAATAATAATAATAATAATAATAATAATAATAATAATAATAATAATAATAATAATAATAATAATAATAATAATAATAATAATAATAATAATAATAATAATAATAATAATAATAATAATAATAATAATAATAATAATAATAATAATAATAATAATAATAATAATAATAATAATAATAATAATAATAATATAATAATAACAATAATAATATTTGTTAACATTGTGCTACTGGATTGAGATAACAGTGAAAAATTTTTATAATGAGTAATCTATTTTACAGTGAGAAAATTTTATGACTAAAACTCACTGCAGCTATTTTAGCAATCAAACAAATTTTTCTCCTCATTGTTTGCAGGAGGCATAAGGAAATATTTCATGAGTTGTGAGAGACTCACCAGAATGAGGCCGTGGGGGCATTTTGACACTGTTTGAGGCTAGTGACACTACCCTGGCAGGGCTCTCCAGGGCCGCAGTGCTGGGTGAGTAGCTGTATTTGGTGAATGGTATCTCGTCCTTCTCTGAGTGGTTACACTGGCCAGGACCCGGGGTTTTGAATGTGTTATCATCATCATTCACAGTACAGATTGGAATGTTATTCAAACCTAGATGAGCAAAGATAAAAAGGATCAAACAACAAACAAACAGATTAGGTTTTTGACTGGTTTTCTTTGAATGATCAGCAATTTCCTAACTAAAAAATGTTTTTCCAACCAAATAATTATGTACATGAAATGTTGGATGTCAAATTGTATGAACCAGTGCAAGGTGAACATTCTTTGAAAGTCAGTGTAGCCAATTTTGTTTGCAATACATGTGTCCTTAAAATGTTCTACCATTTTATCAGCCTTAAAAACCAAGGCCACATCTTTGATCTTGGTCTGGGAGTCAAGTGGAGTAGATCTGCCTTTATCCCAGACAGACCCCTCACTTCCCAAGTCTTGATAATGACAAAGAGGGATTGTGCTAGCCCTCTTTGTAAATGTCAGATTTAGATTGTTGGAAGCATCCAGCATGCCTCAGTGTAACAAAGCCTTCTAAAAGAGGTATACTGGCTCTTTTTTTTGTGCTGGCAGAAGGTAAAAAGCTGTTGGAGGTAGGGATAGGAGGCAGGATAGGGTAGACTGTGAGAGAAAAAACAAATGGGAATTTGGTACAAAGGGACCTCCTTCCTCATGTCAGAGACTTCTGGACTCATTCACTCTCCTATAACAACTCTTTGCTTTTGGCTTGAATATTGGATTTGGTTCAACTATTAAAGTACAGACAGGTTCTCTTTTCAATATCAATGCTGTCATGTGGAGTTGATCAGCTCAAGAAATGGGGGTGTGCACAGCACTGATTTCTGTTGATCAGTGAGTTATGAGAGGTAATAGATGACTGCTTTGTCTCCCAAGAAGTTGCCAGGCAAGCTTCTGGACAGTGTTTTTCATACTAGCTCATTCTTCCAAATCTTCTAGTACCACTGGTCCACTCCCTTTTTTTTTTTTTTTTTTTTTTTTTTTTTTTTTGTTTGTTTGGCAGCTGGCCAGTATGGGGATCTGAATCCTTGACCTTGATGTTACAACACCACGCTCTAACCAACTGAGTTAACCAGCCCCAGTACCTTCTTATCTCTCTGCTCAGATGACATAAAAAGTCCTTTACTGACAACCCTGTCTGAAATGTACCCCATCACTCTCTGTCCCCTTATGCTCTTTTATTTTTCCCATAGTGTTTGTCACTTGTCATATCTGTTTGTACACTGCTTGTCTAAGCTGCACTAGAATGTAAGCTTTATAAGAGCAAGGATATTGTCTGTTTTGTTTGCTGCTGTGTTCCTAGTGTCTAGAACAGTGCCTGGCAGCAAGTAGGTGCTCTATGATTATGTGTTGAATGAATAACAAAGCAAGATAGAAAGCTTTTATTTATTCTAACACTTAGAACTTTACTGGTAGTATCTGATTCTAAGTAGAAATGAGAATAAAATTCTTGAAGACAGCATTACACGTTATCAATACATCTTAAACACCTAGATTAGTGATTGGCCCAGGTGCTTAATGAAAAATTACCTACCAAATGAAATATATAAAACCACAACACACGAACAAGTCAATGGAAAAGCTTTATTTTCTCTGCAACCTCCTTTAATTACTAAAAAATCTGTGCATGTGCGTGTGTATGTGTGTTGGAGGACCTTGAGGAAAAATATTTTTTCTTCATTTCTACTTTTTTTCTTGTTGTTTTCCTTAACAATCAACACATTTTTTCAGATATATGTGTGTACGTGTGTGTGTGTGTGTGTGTGTGTGTCTCACACTGGACATAATTAATATGAAAAAATTCAGATTCCATCTGCTATAGTTTGAATATCTCCTCCAAAACTCATGTTGAAATTTAATTGCTAATGTAATGGTATCGGGAAATGGGGCCTTTAAGATTTGATTAGGTCATGAGGGGTCCACACTCATGTCTGGATTAATGTGGAAATGGGTTCCTGATAACAGGATGAAGTTCAGCCTCTTCTCACTTTCTGTCTCTCCTTCTGCATGCTTCTACCTTCCGCTCTTCCACCATGAGAGGACCCTCACCAGATGCTGGTGCCATGTTCTTGGCCTTCCCAGCCTCCAGAACTGTGAGAAATAAATTTCTTTTCTTAAAAGATGACCAAGTTTGTGGTATTTTGTTATAGCAGCAGAAAATGGACTAAGACACCATCTATCTAAGAGTTAGGAAAGAACTATAAAAAAAATGGGTGAAGGGTTAAATGGAATGACATTAAATTGGCTTCAGAGTCAAATGGGACAACATTAAATGACAAAGTTAATTAGGGAAATGTGAAATTCAATCTGGCATTGAATGAGGTTAGCTACAATCTTGGTGGGGGTTACATTAACTTCCTTGACTATACAGAAGGATTAGGTAATGGATTCCTGGGCTCAAGAAAGACTATCTTCCCCTATAGGGCATCAAGTTTCTGTGACAGTTGCAATTATAAAGTTGCACTATCAAACAAGGAAGGGTTCACCTTGTTAGATAGTGCCAGGCAAAGAGTCAATTCTCTCAGCCTGGCCTCATTTTCTGGTTGATATGCCATATCAGTTTGATGAGAAAGGAACTAATTTTTTTGTCCAGGTAATTTTTTCCTTAGTGGATGAGTGTCCTTTAGCACTGGCAAGGTTTAGAATTAAAGAGAAATGATTAAATAAGGAAAATGCATACTATTCTTTTCCATGGTAAAAGTTTAGTGAAAATCACTGCATGCATACTTAAAATGTAATAATAAGCTAATTTGGCAATTAGAATATCTTATAGCCTGGGAAACCCTCCAATCACCCAAACAGAAGGCAAGGGAGTGTACTGCAACCGGGGACCCAGGGAGAGGCCCCAGACAGCCTCCCACAGACCAAACAGACCAAACAGAAGGCAAGAGAGCATTCTGAAACCAGGGATGCATGCGGAGGCCCCAGGTAGCCTCCCACTGACTGAACAGAAGGCAAGAGCTTCCATGCGGGTGGACCACCACAGCCATCACCACAGCTACCGCTGCCCTAAGGACAGCTCACTGCCACAGTAGCAGCCAGAACTACTCTGCAGGCAGCCCTCCACACGTACTTAATTTTATTGACACAGGACAAACACCAGTGGAGCCTGCAAATAGAGGAGGAAGTCTTTCTCATCCAAGGACATTTCAGAGTAATAGAGGAAATAACTTCTCTACCAGATGACCAGAAATCAATGTAGAAATGCCAGAAATATGAATAAACAAGAAAATATGACACCATCAAAGGAATACAGTAATTCTCATGTACCAACCCCATATAACAGAAAACCCTTGAAATGACTGAAAAGGAATTCCAAGCAAAAATATTAAGGAAGCTCAAAGAGATCAAAGAAGAATCAATTATAATACACAATGAAACAAGAAAAAATATCCAGGATATGAAGGAGAAAATTTACAAAGAGATTAATACCTTAAAAAAGAAAGTAGTAGAATTCCTGGAAATGAAGGATGTGTTAAATGAAATTTAAAAAAACACAACTGAGAGCTTAAACAGAAACTTAGACAAGCAGAAGAAAGAATATAAGGTCTCAAAGACAGTTTTTGAAATAACCCAGGCAGACCAAAAAAAAAAAAAAAAAAAATTTTTAAAAAATGAAGAAAACCTTAGAGACCTAGCAGACAACCTTAAGCACACAAAATCCAAACCACGGGTATTCCAGAAAGAGGGGAGAAAAGAAAAGGCATTGAAAACCTATTCAGTGAAATAATAACAGAAAACTTCCCAGGTATAGGGAGAGACATAGACCTTCAGAACCAGGAAACTCAAAGATGTCCAAACATATTCAGTTCAAAAAGATCCTCTCCAAGACACATTATAGTCAAACTGGAAAAGCCCTAAGACAAAGAGAATTCTAAAAGCAGAAAGAGAAAATCATCTAGTCACCTGTAAGGGAGCACCCATTAGTCTAACAACAGACTTCTCAACAGAAACTCTACAGGCCAAAAGAAAATGAGATGATGTATTCTAAACACTAAAATTAAAAAAAATGCCAGCCAAGAATAATATACCCAGCAAGGCTATACTACAGAAATGAAAGAGAAATAGTGTATTTCCCAGACAAACAAAAACTGCAAGAGCTCACTACCACACAACCAGCCCTATATACTCTCAAGGGAGTCCTGCATCTAGAATCCAAAAAACAATAATCACTACCATGAATACACAAGAAACGAAACCCACTCGTAAAACAAAAATGTGAACAAGAAGGAGAAAGACAATACCTCTCAATAACAATCCAAAATGTAAATGGATTAAACTCCCCATTCAAAGGACACAGACTGACAGACTGGATTAAAAAGCTAGACCCAACTATATGCTGTCTTCAAGAGACCTACCTCACCTGTAAAAACAAACACAGACTAAAAGTTAAAGAGTGGGAAAAGGTATGCCATGCAAATGGAAACCAAAAATGAGAAGCAGTAATCAGCAGTCTCCCATCAAAGAAGAGCTCAGGACTGGATGGCTTCACTGATGCATTCTACCAAACCTGTAAAGAGGAATTAATACCAATTCTCTTCAAATTATTCCAGAAAACTTAAACAGAGGCCACTCTCCCAAACTCATTCTATGAGGCCAGCATCATCCTGATACCAAAACCAGAAAATGATACAACAAAAAATGAAAACTACAGACTAATATCTCTGATGAACACAGATGTAAAAATACTCAACAAAATGTTAAGCAATCAAAATACAGCAAAACATCAAAAAAAATATACACCATGATCAAGTGGAATATATCAAAAGGAATGCAAGGATGGTTCAACATATGCAAGTCAATAAATGTGATAAACCACATCAAGAAATCAAGCACAAAACCATCATCTCAATGGATGCAGAAAAAGCATTCAACAAAATTCAACATTCCTTTATGATAAAGACTCTCAGCAAATTATGTATAGAAGGAAAATATCTCAACACTATAAAAGCTGTATATGACAAACCAATTGCCAATACAATCCTGAATGGGGGAAAGCTTTTTCTGTGAAGAACGGGAACCAGACAAAGATGTACACTCTCTTCACTCCTATTTAACATAATATTAGAAGTACTAGCCAGAAC